AACATACACATTTATCAGCCACCCATTCATGTTTGGATTTGAATAAAATCATGAATACGTCACAATTTCTAAATCCACTAATGTGCAACAAATGATGGATGAATCATCAGCCGGTAAAGCACATACCGGAGACACCGCAGAACAGTGACGCACATGCATTTGAGAGAGGGAGAAAAAAAACTACCCCGTACTTCGATCGCACTTTCACCCAGACGAAGAAACTTGAATGTGTTTTCGCGTGCACGCACACATATACCCTTCATCTGGGTCACGACCACGACTAGTATCATTGAGAGATCACTTGTCACGTAGTCAGGCCAGAGAGAACGGCCCACAGTGAATTATTGATCAACTCCGGAAGAACAGGTGGAAGTTGACTGGTGCGAAATAAAATGACGTGGTGGTTTTGCGGGGAGTGGGGGTTGTTTGTCCGTCACCCCTTGACAGGATAAATGTGCAAAAACAGACACGTGAACCGAGTAGAAAACGGTGACGAGCAAACGGATGCAACACCTGTGTGCAGTGTGATGTACGTTGCGGTGAATCGAAATCAGACAGATACGCATTGTGGTGAGCGTTTATCGGCGTCATCAATGGTTAGAGCCACTTAGTGATATGGAGGAGTGTCATAAACAGTGGCACTCGTGCATCTTCGCAATTTCTTTGTCACCATGGTCCTTCCGAGCTTCCTATCCTCAATCAGACTTTGATTTGAACAGTCCAATCCTCCGTTTACTCCTTCATCCAGATCGGAGGTCATGGTAAATCAACCAAAAACCGACGAAAAAAATGCATGGTTGACGTTTACAAACATTGAAAATGAAGATGACGCTTAAGTTGTGCGGCAAAGACGATTGTTGTGGTAAAACGAGTACAGCTTGCAATCTACTGCTGGTTGGATTTAATGGGATGAGAGTCCTAAGAAACGTGGATAATCAACCAATTAAGCACTTTCAATCAGACAAGTAAACGTTCAAATTCCAAAAGCCTCACTATGGTCGGGGATGGGCGTCCATGGTCGTGGCTGGTCACTGTTCCTTTGAACCTCACCGAATGCTCCCATACGACCAAGGTCTAAAACAGCCTCCGCTGAGGAGGCCCTGCTCATTGCCTTCTCTTGGCCGAGATGTTTTCCCACCAAAATGAGAGAACAAAAAGTCGATATCCGGGGCTATAACCGGGTTGGTGGACCAATGGAAGTTCACTTCGGGAAGTTGGTCAAAAACCCTGACTCCAAACCAACCAAGAGGAGGCGTACGAACCACACCTACATCTTTTCGGTTGTGGCAGTGGTCACCGGCTTGATTGGGCATTGAGATGTATTGGGTACCTTGGACGTTTGACTCCTTCCAAAGGGCGTATAATCTAACGAGCTGGACACTGTCCAAAGGGAATGCGGTTTTCGCAAACCGCCCGCTGCCATGCGGGTCAGACAATGGCTAGCCGAAGGCTCCGGTTGTTGATTTCTCAAGAAAATCCACGTGCCTTGGCCTGCACAACCAAGCAGTATTCAGCCAGCATGCAAATCATGGAACGTTTTTTTTTCTTTTTTATAAAGATTATTGCAGATAGATTATTGTACCACTATTTGTCTACAGGAAAGAACTCTATTGTGCTGAGTCAATCTTTTCGATCATACAATCAAGAAAACACTAGGAATGATTGAACGATCTAGCTCTTGTAATTTACCAGGAAAAGTTGGTGGGAGAGAAAAGATGGAATTCACACGCGAGCGACATTACATAGAAAATTGAGGTCACAGCAATTGGTGTCTTAAAACATGGATTCAGGTGATCACGAAAAGCAGAAATGGGATACGTAATCCACCAGTCTAGACGCTAGTACCTGAACACCATTAGCCGACGACCTTACCCCAGAAAGCATCCCATACTGACAGAAAAACAGACATCGCACAACTCGCATCAATTACACCCTATATTGGTCAATTATCCACCTGAATACACATCCGCTGAACCTCAGCGCTGGTCGTGCAACTGTGCTAGCAAACGAGGAGTGTAAGAGGCAGCTGACAGGAGAAATAATTTGTTGTGTACTTGGACATCCTTCAGCTTTTTGATCTCCATCACCTAACCAACTCTCAGAGAAGCTAAGGCATGTAGCCGCCGGCGAAACACTCTGTTAAACCGTTCAACAGGTTAAAACAGGTTGGAGATAGCCTAGGCTTAAAATCTTGACGAGACGATAAAAGACACCTACTGCTAAGTGGTGCATAAGGAAATATGCCGCACGAACAGAATAGGCATAGATCACTGATCTGAAACCAGACGAGTCGGATAGTGAATGGACACCAACGTACCGCGGCCTTGCAGCTCGCATTTGATGCACCACGAAAATCGAAAAACCGAGTGTCGCTGGGAAGGATGGTTATGCCAATCTGGTGGTCATCAAGCAACTGAGTTATTCCCCGTAGGAGACAACCGTAATAAAATACTAGCAAGATCTTTGTAAACAGCGCTGTCCAAAAGTTGGTAAACTTCTGTGTTTTACGGACAGTGGTTAGGGTCTTCTCGAATGGCCGAAAAACTGAAGCATACAATAGACCCCTGACAAATCGGTGAATATCGCAGAAAATGCAACTGATAAATCTAAAAGGATATTTGAATGATTTTTGGCCGTTCCGGGGGATATGATATGTTCTAGTGTTACCTTAGATTAAATCTTTGCAGGCATGTGAGGAATCAATTAGATGTGGATGTCCCTTGTTGATCGATCTTACTTGAATTACATCATCCTACTTCTTTCCAGACAATATTTTACCGGCGAGAAGAGTGCTTATAGGTGTAACAGTGAATACTGTCAACCCCTGAAGTAATCGGTCGTTAAATACGGTCCTCATAAGTCGTTCCCGTAATCTTCTCCCGCTCTGTACACACACACTGTGTTGTGACGAACAGCGCAAACACCAACCTGGGAAACAGGAGTTGTGAAACACAAAAGGTTCCCTCTACCCTAGAAACTTTTCCACCAAAATTGCAACATGTGATCGTATTTGAAATACTTTGATTGTATTGCACTGAGGTTCTTACAAGCGGTCACAAGCTGATCCAGACAGAGACTGATTGAACGCTACAGAGGGGACGAAGAGTTGACAGAAAAACAGATGGGCGGACAATCACAGAGGACTGGCGTAGGTTAGAGGTCCACTGGAAGTTGCAAAACGCACATCGTCACTCCGTTGTGCGTCTACGTGAGTGCACACACGCCTCGCATAGCAACAAAAGTCCAATAAAGCGGCATATCTGCGTCACTTTCTTTCGCGCCCGCGCACTTGCAACCGATACCCGCACTGAGACCAAAGGAAGTCTGCCACTAATAAGCAGGCCACAGCGCTCCAAGAACAACAACCAGTTTAGTTCCGGTTGAACGAAAAACATGAGTCCAACCAACAGTGTCTCGTAGATGTGGCTGAGGACTTAGGAATGTCTGATGAATGTATTTGAATGAGCCTATTCAAATTTACAGACACAACGTTCTGGTCTTTCAGGGGTCTGTTTCCATTAACTTAAAAAGTGTGTGAAAGAGTTTACAATTGTTTCCAGTCAAACTGAAGAAGTGGAAAGGATTACGAAACAAAAGTGAAGTCAAATAAATAAACATTTAACAATGATCGGAATCAAGTTGTGTGAACCAGCTATGGTCATATTCATGCCAGCGTAAGCATGTGCACAGCACAATCGATGCACAAACTTCTAAGAAACTGCTTAAAATCTGACGTGTCTCCATGAGCACAAGGCCGCGGTGACTCCAAGCCCATCTCACCTCTCACAAATCGTTGAAGATTACGGTGCGCAAACCTTTGCCATTGATATGCTGAATCGAATCCCTCGAAACAAAGCATGATGGAGGCCAAATCTAACAGTAGAATCCTGTTTCGCCTAACAACCGATCTAACACCCGCGGAGTAAATCACGAGTAAAACCTGAACCCACGCTCAGATTTAAAAATCGACATTATTCGAAGAGCTGAACTGGTTAGTTCATCAACCCAACAGATAACAAATTACAAGGTGAGGGTGACTCTGATCGTGTTCCAGATCTCGAATAGTCCACATGCGAGCACAAAACTCAACATAAGCCACACCCGCTCGGCTTGTGATGAAGTTGACATGTTAGCACAAGATATACACAGTTAAATGCTTTACATGTCACATTCATCACAGCATCAACCTTGTACTTAATGACTGTAGGTGTGTGCGTGTGTATATGTGCATTGGTGGGGAACAGAAAGTTCGGTAGATGTGTGCGGATAATCGATATTTGCACTCATCTTTGAAACAGCAGTGACCTTTACCGAAGTATCCGAAAATGAGATCAAGTGAATAATTCAATCAGATCATTCACAATTAACTCAACCGCATTTTCTTACCTTACGCATGTGAAAGATGTGTCAAACAAGAATAGTTAAGTGTTTACTAGAGATGACAGTAATGTAGAGAGGCGGAACTCAAAAGAAAAGATTTACGTTCATAGATGGTTTTCAGTAGTATTCATGTACTGATGCATGGTTTCCTTCACGGAGAGCATTTTGCCCTGGTCTGATCATCACGTACAACTTGGGCGCACTTGTGTTACTTTCGATAAAAAGACACTGCCGAAGCTGGCAGCGGATGTGAGGTCATGTGTGACCAAACTAAGACCTGGCATGAGGGTATGAAAACTCTAAACAGGAGACTGGATCACATAGATCCCATTCATTTCCCTGGATAGGACCCCGGTGGTGAGAGACTGGTTGATACGGCTGGGTGTCGTAAACAGTAGAGCTCGCGCATCTGCTCACTACTCTTGCAACTCCAGCCTATATGAATTCCCTGCTTTCCATTTGACTCTGCTCTCCACATTTCAATCTTCATTCTGCTACGTTATCCAAATGAACAACCAAAAGACAGCAATCCAAACCGGCGCATGAAAATGATTGTAAAACTGAAACTGAGTGAAATGAGAGTCCGAGGATGCGTGTTGTCTGCGCCTGGGGATGAATTCTTACGAAAAATTAGTGGTTCTGATCTTACCACGTCACCATCAAAAGCCATATTAACCAGTGACGGATAAGGTATACACGGGTAGTGTTTCTGGAATCTGTCATGTTTTATGTGTTGTCGCAGTGAACACCTGATCGAACTGGGTTTTGAGGAACCCTATTGCTTCTCGCGTAGCAGTTGAAACATATCCAGATGATCTCAATGCTGGCATTTCGTGTTTCACCTCCCTTTCAGAGTTGATATGTTTATAAAGCAGTTTTGGATTGGAAATTAATTCTTGAGCCCCGGTTTCTTGGGTTATTCAGTTCTTCCTCTCACATAAACTTGGTGCACCGATTTTGGAGTAAGGTATAATTATTCCGGGTTTATATATATATATATATATATATCCCAAAGGTGCATATTAAGAGTGAGCAGACAGTCTTAGAAATGCAACCTGAACCGGTAAACCATTGCACAATATCACAATGGGAAGAATGTAGCACCGAACTAGCGAGCGGTAACAGAACAGTATACTTCCAACGACAGCTGTAAACCTTGGTGATCGAAACTTATTTCTAGAGGGGACAAAGCTTATGCGACGCGGAGTTATTTCACAATCACTACAGCTGAGCAAAACAGACTGCGGAGCACATAAAGTCCAACAACAAGGATGCCTTAGTGGCACAGATCAGAAATTGTAATACAACTGCCGGGAGACGGATGGCAAGTTCTTAGGCCTACAACCGTTTAGTGATTGCGGAAATCAGTTCACAAGCAGCGTACAAAATCAGCGTTATATCGAGCGGAACAGAAATTAAATCCGGTTCGAAATACGAACAACTGTACGCTGTGTGAAC